CGCGCCCCGCCCCGCTTGCAGCGCGCGCAGCAAGAGCACAGGGTGTGTCGCGAAAAGCAGGGAGAGAGAGAGAGAGAGTCTGGTCGGCGCCGCAGAGGCACCCTGTCCTCCGAGTGGGTGGGGGCAGAGGCAAGAGAGGGATAAAGAGGGAGACGAAGCAGCGCAGAAGTGTACGAGAAGGATGAGGCACAATGGCGATGTGCCGGCTGCCGGCCGCCGCCGGAGCCAGAGGGCCGGGGCACGGCGAGCCCCTGCAGGTAGGCCGACCCGGCGCGCAGCCCTGCGCACAGGCCGCCCGGTTGCCTGCCTCCAGGGCGCTCGGCTCCTCCCTCGGAGCGCAGGCTGCCTCCGATCTCCGATCGGATCGGGATGGTTAGTGCAGGTACGTACACACAGCCTCCGTGTGCGCTTGCTTTGGCAATGGCTTATGGGACTCTGGGGCTCCCTGCCAGCCCCCGCCCCCGCCCCGCCATGGCAGAGATACATGCAGGTGACCCGCCTGAGAGATGAGATGCACCGGCCAGCAGCGCCAAGGTGCGCCGCCCCTGCTGTTTGTCGACTTGGTGATCTGTGACATTCTCCTCCTGGGCCGCGCCAGAGACGGAGGCAAAGGGGGCGTCTCTTCTTCTCCTCCACCTCCACCACCACTCCCTCGAGCACGTCGCGACGCCGCCGCCGAGGAAAGCGCGCGTCATTCAAATAAATACCACGTTGGAACGCGGCCAAATCACGCGGAGACAGAGGAGAGGGGAGGCAGCGTGAGGGGTTGAACTTGAACCCCCTCCCTATTTTCCACCGTGTGTACTGGCAGAGAGAGAAGGGGCGCACCTCGGAGAGAGCGAGAGAGAGAGAGAGGGAGGGAGATGGAGCACGGATTAGACCGCGGCTCCTCGCTCTCTCTCACACCCGCTTCCCTTCGCGTTATCTCTCTCTCTTTCTTACACCACACACAATCCCTATGCCACACACTGGCTGGCACCACATGACACAAGCAAGAGAGCTGCAGCAGTGCAAAGAGCGCAAAGAGAGGGCGGCGGCGGCGGCAAAGCAAAATGTCGCGTGGTGGACAGGTGGAGCACTCTGCGAGCCCTGCGAGGGGCACAACATGCAGCTGGCGCAGCTCGGCGTGCCGTACCGCGAGCGCTACCGCGAGCGCTGGGGCCAGGCCGAGAGCCAGGCTGCCGGGCGCGCAGGAGATCGATAGTATACGAGCGCCCGGCACTTATCTCGACGACGAAACAAAACGTTCGCGGCTCGGGCTGTAGGGAGCGGGGACGACCGGGCAGGGCAGTAGCCAATGGGCCTCTGATGATGAGGCGCCTAAAGGGTTGGGCAATTCGATGTGTAAGTAGGCAAAAATGGCGTGACGTGGCACCCCTAAAAGAAAATCCTGGATTACGCGCCTGGGGTATAGGGAGACACAACTAGGAGCGAGCTTTTCTTATGGGAGCTCTTCTGAACTACTGCCTCCTCAGCTACCCCCGCAACACATGGATCGTCTGGGTCCCGCCTATCCCTTTGCGTGGACCCTCGGAAGCAGGTAGCCGCAGCCACCACCGCAGCAACATCTCCTCAGAAAAGCTCGCTCCTGGCTGTGTCTCCCTATAGCGGCCCTCGCCTGGGGCCAAGGGAAGTTGTAGAGACAGTTGTATGACTCGGGGGTTCTACCAGGCGACGAAAAAGGGCTTCAGGATCAACAAGTAACGAGATTTGTGGGGGAATAAGTCTGTCCTGCCTGGTTACACCTTTCCCTCTGTGACAAGAAACCCAAAGCACGCGGCGCTGCTCTCCTGGAACAGGAAGGGGGAGACGGTTCGGGTGGAGGGGAAAGGGGGTGAGAGGCATGGAAGGCACGGGAGAGGGTGCGGCGAGTCGGGGGCAGTGGCGCCGCGGGGCAAGGTCGTAGCGCGGCACGCACGCGGGTCGTTATCAATAGCCCATCAAACAATAATAATTTAGGCAGGGATATCGACAGGGGTCGGTCGGACCCTTCGCGTGCGCCACGCCGCCAAGCCAACCGCGGCCCCGATGACCCAGGACGACGACGGCGGGCCGGGCGGGTGGCCGGGTGGCGCGGTTACGCGTCGTATACATGAGCGTGAGCCAGCTCAGCGGCTGCTGACAAGGATCAGATTGGCGAGGAAACAAATTTTGAGGAACTGCTGACGACGGGCCCAACTTTGTAATCGCGTGGGGCGAGTGCGCGGGCGGCGCGCCGCGGTGGTGCGTATACACCATGTGATCGTTTGCGCAAAAGGGCGGACGCGATAAGGACGTTAGGCCTCCCCGCGCGTCGGCACCACCTCCCCAAGGCCAGGCAGGTCAGGCGGCCCGGGGGCGGGCATGGGGGCTGCCGCGGGCCCCATAAGAGCCCCCGCCCCCGCAGAGTGCTCAAGAGGGGCGGGGCCCGGCAGATATCGCCGCTCGGGCGCGAACGCCACGAAGCAAGAGACACCCCATTGCGCGCCCGCTCAGTCTCCCTCGCCATCCTGGCCTGGCAGCGACCCCGCGCCGCGCGCCCGGGCGGGAGGTGTGTCGGGAGCCGCATTTAGGCCCCAGACGGACGCCGAGGCCGCCCCCGGGGGTGGCAGGATTTGAGTTCCCCAAACAAGCCCCTCCCCGTTTGCTTCCTGGAGGCGGCGCGCGGAGGCGCGGAGCTGGGCCCCACGCGGGGCCCGGACGGGGAGAGGCGGAGCGGGGTGCAGAGGAGGCCCCCGTGCGGGGCCCAGCTAGCCTCGCGCAGTGCCTTGCCCGCCCTGCAGAACACGCAGTTGACACGCAAAGTGGCAACGCCGCATCCCAAGGAGAGGGCGAGAGGGGCGCCGGGGGCGGGAGGGGCAGGGGCAGCGCGGCAACGCCGCCATACAATTGTCGGATCGGCTGCCAGGCATTAGATATGTGGGCCAAACTCCCGCGCAGCGCGCAGTCGCGGGGCGACGGCGGCAGCGGCTCTAGCGGCGGCGCCCGCCACTGGGCCAGGCAGGCCAGCGGGCGGGGCGCACCGCAGCACCGCCCGGGCCGGGCGCGGAGCGGGCGCCCACCGCGGCACCGCGGCCGGGCCGACAGTCGCGCCGCACCTCCGCGACCGCGGGGGACGTGGAGCTGGCGGCGAGCTGCGAGTATACGAGCTCCTTCCCTTCGCTTGCCCGGGCCCGGGGTCCGGCCCACTGTGCGGTGCTGGAAGCATGTGAGCCCAGCTCGCAGTGCCGCTCGGGCTCGGGCGCAGCTTCGGCCGCGCTTCGCGAGCCGCGAGCCCTCTCCCTCCTTCAGCTCCCTCCCTCTCTCCCGAGTCGCGGGGAGCGGCGAGCGGTCGGGTCGGTCGGGCAGCAGAGCAAGGCGATCGTGGTGCTGCCCTTCCCTCCGCCCCGCAACTTTCCTCTCTCCCTCTCTCGCACCTTCCATGCCACAGTGCCTCGCCTTCTCCTTCCACTTGCCAACATTCTAACGAGGTGTATAACCGGCTAAAGCTCGGCTTGGCTTGGCGAGGCAAGTCTGGCCCAAGCCAAGATCTGCTCTGCCCAAGCTGCCATGCTCTCCTTGCTCCGCTGCCCGGCCCGGCACTCCCTGAGCCCACCCTCTCGGCCCCACCCCCGTGGACACACCAAACCACAATCCAATTCAGAACCATCTATACACTGAACAAATAAATAATCAGTTAACCGTACAAACATCTCAGGGACCTAGAACCATGTACACACACAAAAGCATCTTGAAAATAGAAGCGAGACAAGTAGTTTATAACACACGACTATGATGCTCGGCAAATAAAAATGTACTAATATATAATGAAAATTACATATGCAGATGCGTATAACAGACAAGGTGAAGACAAATAAAAAACATCTATAGCGTAAGAAGGATTTAGCGACCAGGAAATTACATGATCAGAAAAACATTTTTAGGAAATATGTTAAATTTTCCTAACAGTACAGCACGGTTTGACTCATGAACAAGTTAAACGAAACATGGACTACATTGTCTAGGGTAAGGTCTTCAGGGCCACAAAGGTTGAGGGCAATTGAAGGGCTTGTTTTCCATCAGTCGACAAAAAAAATAAAGCCAAAGGAAAGCAACAAAAACAATCTACTAGGACACAAAGAAAGATGCCATTCCCAGACATGAAGCATAGCGCCTAGAAACATACATTTAGAGTAAAATAGTTGGCACACAGATAACCAAGAAACAAACAGGTGAGATACAGAAAAACACTGGTAACAGGTTATCCTATACGTCTACTACTGTATCATTCGTCATGACAGGTTAGGTCTGCTGGCAAAAATAGATTGAAGCATCAAAAAAGACTTGCTGATCAACTGTGATGCCGATTAATTAACTGCGAAGATAATCTGACAAACCAGACAACCTTAAAAACCTGAGAAACCCAGCAATCAGACAGAGAGAACAGAAAGATTTGGAGGCTGGACGATCAACGCATAAGGAGAAAAAAGTACAGAGAGCTATCACCAGAATGAGTGTGTATTGCTAAATCTAGAGACTGCAGCACACACAATTTTGTTCGAAAGTGCACATCACAACTCACCAATCCAGGAAAGTTTGGGAAGAACGTAAACAAAACTTCACAACCACATCAAGTGAGAGACGTTCGACGCCAACGCCATTTCATGATCGTGATTCCGCATTAGCCGACAGCAGACGTGATTGGTTACCTGCTACTGCCACTGCCTGTGATAACCAACAGGCGTCGACGAAAGAAACGACTTTCTTTTGTTTTCGATGGCGGGAAGTTTGAAACTATTCCACCATGGTCCGTTTTTATTTATTGCTTGAGATTCTCAAGTTTATTGAAACAGGGCTCAAGGTGTTCAAAACTGTTTATTTCAGATAAATTCTGAAAATTAAAAACACCATGTTGTACCTTGTTTTTAATTGGAGACTATCACACGATACTTTGAAAAAATATTTTTGTTATTTTTGTTGTATATTTTAAAGATTATCAGTGCCAGAATTAAGTAATAAGGAATATGAAAAATACAGTCAGAAATGTTTTGTTTATCTTTATTTCATAAGGCATCTTAAATACAAAAGATGTTTACGGATGACAGGTAGGTACAACACAAAAAATGATCTACAAACATTAGACCAAGAGCCTTTGGGTACGTAGAACTTTGGCTACTTTAAAATTGAGAAGATAACAAAAAAGTGCTTTGTGAACAGAAGGAAAAGTGCTTCACCGTTTTATCAAAGGTTACATTTATAACTCAAAGTTTCATCAAAATGGAAGAGAAAAATCACACCAGTGAGGAAGAAATCATATGCTTGGGAGGGAAAGCCGATATAAGGAATCAGCCTAACCAAGGATTAATCAAAGTGCTAACAAGTACAAGCACTAGCGCATACTCACAAACATTCACACGCAGGTATTCAAGTATAATCAGTAATAATATGCGTGATAGGACACGTAGAGTAACATTGACAGTATGATGTGAATTACAGTGGTCACAGCCTATATTGTACCAAAAATGACAATGAAAAAAAAAAGAAGAGCACAAAGAGCTACTGGGCACGACATAGCAAGCCATTGGTAGATGTCAAGTCAAGCTCAGAGGAGACTTGTCAGTGTTAGTACATTTATTGAACGATACATACAAGTAGGTAGTGTAAGGCCTTGAATTTCTAGAGGTGATCACTCCAGTCCAAAACCCAGCATGCGGACCTGCCGCATTTAGTGAAATAAGTAAGATACCTTGGTTCAGTGGCTTAAATGATATACTTTCCTTGGTAAGTAATGACCTTTGATAAGGTGGTTCTGCAAATTTTACTCCAACTAAAATCTTAAAACAGTATTTTCCTCACCTAGATTCAAAATTTATAAATCAAATTAAAATACTCATTCACTCTTGTTTCCTAATTCTCCCTCTTCTTTTTCACTTGTATCATCATTTAATTCACCGCTTTTCTCTTTAATTGCTGGTGTTTCTTCTTTCCCAGTCAATGTTCCATTGGTTGCTTCTTCAGTTTTTCTTGGTGATGATGCTGGCTCAGTTTCTTCAGGAATAGGTTTAGGACGGTCTGGATTAAAAAGCAAAAATCACATTTATTTCTGCAGTGAGAGGAATTATGAAATAACTGGAAAGGAAATTAAAACTAAAACCCACAGGGTTACACTTTAACCACTGACTTATAAAATAACTGTAGTAACTCACCTTCCTCTCGCTTATCTTTCCTCTCATGAGACCGATCTCTCTTGTATCTGTCACCACGAGATGATGAGTGATGACTGTCATCCTTTTCTCGGGATCGACGTCTGGTGGAATGGGATTGTCTACTACGGCTCCTACTTCTTGATCGGTGGGACCTAAAAGAAAATGCACGTCAATGAGTGGAAAGAAGTCAAGCAATTTCTTTACAACAGTTAAATTGATACACACCTGGAATTGCTGCGCGAACGTGTCCTTCGGCGCTTGCTCCTTCCACTCTCACTACGACTGTCACTGGGACTGCGCTTGCCTCGTTCTCTGTCCCTATCACGGTCCCTGTCCCTCTCACGATCCCTGTCCCTATCTCTGTTGTCCCGTCTATCGCGGTCGCGGTCCCTGTCCCTGTCACGTTCCCTGTAACGGTCACGGTCCCGGTCCCGCTCACGGTCGCGATCACGGTCGCGGTCACGATCTCTGTCCCTGTTCCGATCACCGCGATCTCTCATTCTGTCTCTGTCCTCTCTTTCTCTGTCACGGTCTCTGTCGCCTCTTCCGTCATTCCGTCGCTGGTTCTTGCGCTCTTCAACAGTTGCCTTGAAATGATACAAAAGGAAAACGGTGTGAACATTATTTCCAATGTACAGAGAACATGGATTATACCTGAAAAATTCTTACTCACCTGTAGCTGAGCAAGCTTTTCCCGAATTTTGATAAACCCAAGATGAAGCTTGCCACCAAAATGATCAGCCAATCGTCTGTCATTGTCATGAATACCAAGATATGCTGAACAGACTTCACACACTCTTAATTTCTGTTGCTGATAACTCGAGGCAGGCATTGAATTACGGTACTCCAATTCTGCTGCAGCTTTCTTTTTACGAAGGTCTTCAATCTAATTTTTTAAAAAGTTGGTTGGATTAAATTTTTCTACTTATAACAGATATAATTATTTATGCAATGCAAGTGAAACAAAAGTCAAACAGAACTTTACCTCTTCCATGAGTTTCATGCTCTCATCCACCAGACCTTCAGCCCCAAGCATTTCTGCTTTGGCCAGTTTTTTACCAATCTGTTCAGCAAGCTCATGTACTTTGTTTGCTTTAGCAGCAACTTCAGCAGACAGTACTTCTTGAGTTTCAAGAAGCCTTTGCTTTGCTAAGTCTGTACGATGGTCACAGTCAGCAATAAAAGATTGTAGATGTTCCATTGCCTAGAAAGAGAATATAATTAATTAAAGAGACATTAAATTAAATGCAGACATAAACAGAGATAAAACTTACATCAATGTCATAGTAGTAGTCCCTTTTCTTGCTGGCTTGTTCATAATCTGCGCGAAGTGCGAGATCGTGAATTTTGGGACATTCTCCGAGGTCCATTCGCTGCAACATAAAAACGCCAGTGAGAAAACCTTGAATAGTTTAGAAAACCTTATGATTTACAGACCATTCCTGGATGGCTTACAATGGTGAAAAGCACAAAAGTTGGTGAGCAGACTACTTTTACCCTTCCATAAACTAAAGCTTTCTCAATATCCAAAGAGAGGGTAAGGAGAATAAAATTAAAGAACAGGAGTACATAGTAAGCATTCTTAAAGTGATGGATTAAAAAAAGTGAAAAAAAGAGAGAAAATGAAGGTGATATTTCTCCTGAGAGAGGTAGACAAAATGAGAATATAGCTATAGAAAATTCAACAGACCAATATTTTCACTTGAAGCAGTCATAAAATCCATAGCCAATGTAATAATTCTAATTCTGCACTTGATTGAAGTTCAGAACAACTGTAGACACCTAACTAAAACTAAGACCAACGTGACAGCCAGAAACTTCCCCTCTTGCTTCAGCCACAAACACTCCATAGCTCAAGTTAACAATTCAACAGTGGCATAAATTATTGGTATTAGCAAAAATTTCATGATCAGGATTGCCACAAAGCTGAATTGTTGTCTAAGAACAAGAAAAACTTCTTGTGTAACAAAGAAGAAGAATAAACACTTTCAACCTATGATCGAATCAGATGTGGAAACAATACCTGCGTCTCTGATTTAAAATTAAACAAACTAGACAAAGTCATTCCTTTATCCAATACAAATCCAGATAATGCAGAACAAGAAAACACAGTGCAAAAATCAGGGCATATGTGTTGGTTTTGTAGCACCTCTTAGTATTGGTGGAAGAGGCAAGAAAATGTATCTTGATTCGAAAACCTTCATCATTCTTACTAGCATCAACCCCAAAACATCAACGCAGTCCTTCAACGCCAACATAAGCTTTTGAAGATAGTAAAAAACCTGTGTAGAAGGCTCTTCATCATTCAACAAGCATCACTGAATTGTTAAAAACTAACAGAATGAAAATTGAAGGTTCCTCAGAAGCCTTCTCCATGACCTAGATAAGGGGCAAATTAGGAAATTGGCATGAGTCTGAGGAGTCACTTTTCAAAGTCGTTTCTTTCTTTTAAAAAAAATAAGACGTAATCCTGAAATAAAACTAATTCTATCAAATCAACAATGTGAAGCACCATGCTACCCTCAAACGGAGAACTTTGAGTACAAAGATCATTTCACATCAAATTGTACGAGCAAAATATGATAATTTCATCAATTTTGGAAGAAACGTGGCTCCTCAGATAAGAGTAAGAAAAGGTTTCAACATGGTCAGATATAGCAACTTACAGACGCATCTTCTAGAGCGGCACTTGGCATGAAGACGGTGGTGTCATAACCCCTCTAATTACGATGGCTCAGTCAAAATGCTTTCATTTTTAAAGCCCTGAGGGTAAAAGAAACCAGTTTTGTATGTGAGTTGCGCCTCTTTCAACTCAACAAATTACATGTGACATTATGTAACATTTTGAGTAGTCCTGATCAGGTTTGCCTTGAAATCAAATAATTTAATTTGGATAGAGGCTACAAAACAAGACTTCTAAACAAAACTCATCGAAGAAAAATGAAATGGAAAGTTGGATGTCAAGGCTGAACCACTACAGGAGATCATTCAATGCAAAAATTTAGAAATATTCTAGGTACATCACCGATCCTTTGATGTTCCCCAATCATTCAGAGTTTGTAGACCATTGTTAAAAAAGTTATACTCACAGTGGATTGGTTTCCCTTTTCCCAGCATCTTACCAGAGCTACAAAAGACCATGCAATTTATTTTACTTACAAATAGACGACCATAAGGGCACCTCACCATCAGGCTTGATAGCTTCAAGTTTCATTTACAGGTACAAAGAAATAAGGTTGACGTGTAATTGGTAGGTTAGACAATGTGCAGAGAAGAAGACTGTATAATAACCATTGCAGGGGCGCAGGCACTTCAGAACAGTAGAGGCTGAATAACCTCTTGAACAACCTGAACGTGACTTTAGGCAATAGATGTTATTAAGCAACTGAAGAAATGTTCATCAATTTCACTTCCAGAGCTTACAAAACACAGACATTTGGAAGACATTAATTGATGAAAATTGCAGCTGCATGGCAAGGACAACCCAAAACTCACTGTACAGACAGTAAATTAAATTACAGTTCACTGTGCGACCCCTTTGTGAACAATTAATCAAATGTATTACTTCAGTACAAGCAAAATGTGATGGAAAATTAGAGCTGTCGGTAAAGATTGATCAAGTAGCAAAAGCTATTAATGCAGCAGCATCTTCATCACAAGGAAAATGGGACACAGTAGACACTTACGAAAGATGAGACTGCAATCAGCTGTAAGCAACCTTTCCGTACCTTGCTTTTCTCCGTACAGGAAAATTTACTTACCAAATGTTATAAAAACCTTTAAATGTAACCCTCTTTAAAGGTAAAAATGCAACCACATTCCTATAAATATCTACATAGCAACTAGATTTACTAGATTGGAAAATATTTGAACCACAAGCTGCCATGTACTTGGTATTTTGTAAACCCCAGATTTTTAAGAATATGAGTCTGTTGTCCTTAGTTGGTAGATGTTGTCGTATGATACGTACCATGAAGGCCAGATGTTTGGTCTTAAGGACATGATACGTACCAAAATAGTCAGGAGCATGGTATTGAGCGATGCTCATAATTGGAAATCTATACTGAAATCAATTTAGCAATGCTGAGTACTTACAGACCTCTTTAAGCACATCAGTATCCTATAATCACTGTTTCTGAAAACAGTGAAGAGATTTTTGTAAATGTATTCCAATAAAGATTACAGCTTAAAAGAAATGCAGCAAAAGGAATTTCTTTTTCTATTGTGAAGAAGTTAAAAGTTGACAAGTTTTAAGCTTTGTAAAAATTTGTGAATATTCTAAAATTTAACAAATAACAAAATAGAGTTGAAATACAATGCTGCACTACCAGTTATTAAATAATATACTAAGGGAGGAAAGACATCACTTCTTTACACCAAAATACAATTTGAACAACTGTCCCATAAACTTTCTCTCACCATGCACAAGTGTTTTTTTCTTAGCAATTTAATGAGATGTGAATTGTGCAATAAAACTTGAAAGGAGATTAAATAGTTAGAAGTGAGATATAGATTTGAGAGAATGCAGCAAATATCAAGGTCAAATATTTGTGGGTATTAATGCCTGACACATTAATCTACATTCTGGAAAGCAGTTAGATCTATAGTGGTTCTTCAAAATTTTTATTACAATGCAGAATATATAAATATTCTGAACATCATTCTCAGCTTGGGAACAAAAATTTATATCTCCTGATAGTAGCATTCTCACACTGTCTTGCCAGCCCAAATGGGCACAAGAACATGGCATTTTGTTGTCAACATGAGTTGGTTGAGAAATTGCACAAAGGCATGTTAGGATTAAAGTAAAATTCACAAGGCATGAATTTCTGCCAAAAGATCTGACTAAAACACCATGTTCCTTGCTCTAATATAAATATATATTACCAGAGAAAACAGAGTAAACCTACCGTAGAAGATAAGATTTCATGAGGGCAGCAAGCGAGAAGGAAGCTCTTGCACACCTTGGTATCGGTGAATTTCACTTGATATTTACTGTTTTCACCTGGAAAAGATGCAGAGGGTAAAATCAAATAAAAAAAAAAGTTTCTCTAATATATGAGCTGAGAATCTATTTAAATGCAGTTCATTCACAATAAATAGCCTGGGCAATGCTATGGAAAATCGGTGCGTGCGTGTGGTAGTTAATACGGCTCTAACCACTCGGAAACAAAGTTGAAAGGTTTAAACCCAGAGTAGAATCAAAGATGTGTTCAGAAATAAAACATTACAGGCATAGGTATGTAAGGGTGTAGCTTATATATGAATTGTACTCATAATAAAAAGGGGAGCTAAAAGGTAACCTATGAACGACTGATGATCAACCTTTCAGAGTAAAGCGTTCAAACAAATTCATATTCAATGTACTTACCATTTCTTCCTGTGCCCATTAATTGGTCCAGCATCGCCTTCATTTGATCGTGAGCAGTCATCTTGGTTGGTGTGGGAGACAAAATTTCCAGAAGATATTTCGTCTCCACCGACCATAACACGTAAGGAAGATGGCGGCCGGGATATTGATGGAAAAAAAGATGCACTGCACAAACAAAACAGGAAGAAAGGAAGAAGAAAAGCAAAATAGACTGTTGCCAACTGCGTAATACATGGGATAGATACTTTTGAACGTGTCAATTTCTATGTTGCGTACTACTTATTTCAAGCGCAATGATAGCCTCCCTTTTCTCGACAAGACAAACATCTTCTTGACACTGGCCTGAAAAATTTTGTCCACTTTATTTTTTTTTGTTTGGTTGGTTAAAATGCTAAAAGTCACGTGACTGGATGTCACAACAACAATGCTTGTTTACAAATGTCGTCTGAAACACATTTTGTAAAGCAGCCGAACATGTCCGCTCAAGGAGATTCTGTCATTGACATTGCACTCTTGCAGAAAAATATAAACTGCCTTCAAAGTGAAGACAAGAAGAAAAGAAAATCAGCTCTTGATGAACTTCGTAGCCATATATTTCCTCTGTGCAAGTCGTATCCCCAGCTCATGCAAGAGCATGATGATATCTTTAAATCGATCATAAAGTGTTTTAGTGATCAATCTGAGGCTTGCAGAGAGTCTTCAGTAAACCTTTTGAAAGATCTTTTATCAGAGAATGTCCATGTCAAATACAATTGCGCATTGGTCATGCCGGTTCTCACTTCAAGGTTAGGTTCGGACGAAGTTATTGAAACCTCTGAAGAAGTTAGATACGTCCTTGTTGAACTGCTTCATGGCCTTATCAAGCGTTTCCCCAAAGAAATTTCCCCTTTTTTCAATGAACTTATCATAATTTTAAAAAAGGCAATCCTCGACCCATTCCCTAAAATTAAAAAAGAGAGTTGTGAATGTGCGCGCTCACTAGCAACTGCAATCCCAGAGAATTTTCACATGCAGTCCGAATCTCTTGTTAAACCACTCATCCAAATTTTGACTCATCAGCAGTACAGAGTTAGAGTAACTGCCATACATGCCCTTGGTCAGTTTGTGAGCTGTCATTTTACATGGGCATATGTGAATATTTTTAGTTTTGTGTAATTGTATATTGTTTCAGGTACTGTTGTTCGCTTTGGGAACAATAAGTCCATCAAGGATGCCTCAGGCCCACTTGCTGAAAGGTTATTTGATCAGGCTCCACAAGTTAGAGATGCTGTAACTCAAACAATTGGTGATTGGCTTATTAATTTGCCAGACCGATATTCCTATTTTTACGTAATGATTCCTCTCATTTTAACAAGGTAATTCTATTAAGTTTCTTCAGTGCCTCTTTATCTTTTCAGCTCAGTAAGATGTTTACCTTGTTCCAGTCTAAATGACCAATCTCCTGAAATTCAAGAAAAAGCATGGACTCTTTGGAGTGAGGCAGGTGAACAATGGGCCAAGGAAAATGAAGATGATATTAAAGACAAACTTGATTTTTTAGATGCTCAGCCTCAACATTACCCACTGAACTGTAAGGGAGAAACAGTGGGTTTGTGATTTCTTATATTTAATAACAACTCCACTAATTATTATTATTTCTTATGTTTAATTTTCAGTGAGAAGGCCAAATATTGGTTGTCGCACCCTTGTTAAAAGAAATCTTCATAAAATTGCATCTGCTCTTGTTCGTGAACTTGAGGATTGGCTTGTTGATGTTCGCATTAAATCTTCTCAGCTACTTTGTGTTATAGTTGTAAATGCAGAAAGAGATTTACATCAGTATGTAGAGCAACTACTCCTTGGAATGTACCGAGCCTGCAATGATGAAGATGCAAGAGTTGTAAATAATGTAAGTATCCACAAAAATACCCCTCTCCAATCTTCTCTTCCTGTTTTCGAAATTGTAACTGTATCCAATGACTGTGAATAAGTTACATTATTTTACAGATTGAAAGAGCATCTCACCTTATGGGTTATTTTATACCGCCAACAAATTACTGGGCTTTAATACATCCAATCATGGAGGATTCCTGCCACCAAGGACATCTGAGGGTTTTGGCTTCACTCATGAGTGGTAGTGAATCAACATTACTCTTGAGCTCTATAAAAACTGTTGCAGATTTTCTTCAACAACCCTCCATTTGCCGTTCTAGAGAGGTACCTTTTATTTATTTTTTGTACTTTTTATTTGAAAATTGTTGGACCAAATACTTTTGTCATTCTATTTGTTCCTTTTTACACCTAGGCTGTTTACCAAACACAGCTTGTGAAATGCTGCCAGTCTATTCTGAGTGTGTGTGGAAAAGACAGTGTTGTTGTTTCTCAACAAATATTTAATGTCCTTTCAACTGCCCTAGCCCTTGCCGCTTCAGATGATGTACAAAAATTTGCCCAAGGTGCCTACTTCTTTTAAAAAGTAATTATTTTATCTTTTAATAATTGATTTTTATAATTATCATACTTAATATCTGTTAAAAAAAGGTACGCTAAGCAATTTGAAAACACTTGAAGATCTAGAAAAAGTATCTGATCTGTACAAAAAGTTCATGCGCCCACTACTCCTGGATGTTAGTTCATCTCCTGAGTTGTGGACAGTTCACTGCCCCGAGAGACAAATTTTTCAGACTTTGATGTTGAATTCAGGTACCTGTCTGTCAAAGTGAATTTCTGCTGTCAGTCAGTCTGACACTGTAATAACTGTTTTGTTTTGTTTTCTCAGGTCCTGCCATAAGTGCTAATCTTGATCTAATGATTCCAACACTAACAGCAAGCTTAAAACCTGAAAACCAGGATGCTGAAATGAAATTAAAATTATTAACAAGTGTTGCAATAATCTTGCAGAATGCAGATAACACACACTGCATTGATACTCCTGTGATGGATCCATTCCTTTTATCTATCATAAAAGGTACTGAAAGTCATATGCAGTTTTTTTTTTTTCAATTGTTGCTGTTTTCTTTTGATTGTATGTTATGAGTCAAAATCCTGTTAAGGTGTAATCGCTCCCAACCTGGTGTGGAAAGCTGGACGTACTGCAGAGGCTTTAAGGACAATAACTGTGTCTTGTCTGTTGTCAATCCTTCAAACACATGGGGTAAGAAATGAAGAAACAACGGAATATCTTGTGGATAGTTTGACTCCTATTGTCTTGACACTAGTTGAGGATTCTGCCAAAAAGTCTCGATTATACTCTTGTCATTCCTTGTGCCACATTATATGTGCAGCACAAAAAATGAGTAAACTAAGGTCTGAGCATGTGCACAAAATTTACCCTGGTGAGTTCTTAAATTCCTAACTCTACTACCTCACCTTGCTAAGAATGTACTTCTAATTGATACTTTCTAATCTTTCAGTGGTCATGAAACGCCTTGATGATGTTGATGATGATGTAAGAACCACTGCACTAGGTGTTCTGAAAAATTTGTTTATAACCCTCCCAGATGATTACAACATTGAATGTTCATCTGCACACATAGAAGCTTTGTATTCTACTCTCCTTGTTCATCTTGATGACCCTTCTGTCCAGTTTGGTGCCTTGGTGCTCGGTGGGTAAACCTTCTTTGTCCAACTAGTGCTTTTTAAGGTTTCATTGTTTTAACATATAATTTTCTAACATTTTAGAAGTATTAAAAGAAATATCATTTCTGAAGCCAATTTATCTCTCAGATAAACTTAATACAGCAAAATCAAGTTTTAGAAATCAGACGGCTTGCCAAGAACTGTCTTCATACATTGACAGCGCTCATGTGTTGAAGATGAACTGAATTCCTTACTGGTTTAAAACTACATTACTACTTTTGTAACATATTGATAAAATTGTGTATTCTTTTTGCACTATCAAAGTTTGTAGACCTTTTAAAAATAATCTGTGATGTATCAACTCTCCACCAAATAATATTTGATGGATCAATAAATTTAAAGAAAATGGTAAGAAACAGCACACAGTGGGTGAGGTTCTCTTTATTTATGAAACTGTACAGAGTGCGCTTGCTCGGATGTACTTTCTTCCCCCTTTTAAAGATAATGATCAATTATCAATTAACTTACAGCACAGTAATACATAGATTCCATAATCTTTGGAAAACACATCATGCTATTTCTTAATAAGCTTAACAAGAACAAAACAACTTCCCAGCCCTCACTCTGAATAAAATTTTACGCCATCTGTATCCTCAATGTACAAATTATTACACTGAAATTCTACATTTTGTATCAAAATCTATGTACAGTTTAAAAAAAAATTATACAACTTTTCTCACAGCAAGTATCTGGCAGTGAGTCAGAGATGATAGCTCATAATACTAGAGCCACAGTTCATTAACACTTTCAAAAGTCTTTTGCATAGTGGTTGTCGAATTTTAAATTTCATCAGAGAGTTTTATTTCACTGGAGAGAATTTGGTCCCTTGATAGGGCTTTCAGTTAAAGAGAGAGAAATGATTTTAATTCAGTGGAATCTTTGATTATGTGACATGTAAAGGTACCAAATTGTAGTTTATTGACAGCTTGTTAATCATTATCCAATACTTGTAGGAAATAGAGTGGTACAAAATCCACACAGATGCAATGAATTTATACTAACATCCCTTTCCACAACAGGAAATTTGGAGCAACATCTAAAAAGAAGTGTCACCCTTCATTTCTTCAGTCTTGCATTATTTTGCCTTAAAAGAGGAGTTTGTTAGGAAACATCCATCCACTAATCACAGTTAAGTCTTTTCAAAAGAAGAGTGACTTCACTTGTTGAATTCCACACTAATTTGGCTTGAACATTTTCATGCAAGCTGGAAAATTATGTAAGGAATACAAAAAACTGTTACATACAATTTTTTTTTTTAGTTAAATATGAATCAACTTTTAAAATAACAAGTTTCCCAATGATTGGATGGTGATTAGACATTTCTGAACTGCAATAAAAAATATTTCCTTGTAAAAATCTCATTCATAATATCTGCTAGGCAAAACCTGTTAACAATCTCCCCCAAAATATTGATAATTTACATCTTCTGCTCATAAAGAGAGAAGCCACACCCCTAAACTGTAAAACTGACACACATACATTACCAACCACTAACTGAAAATTGATTATTGTGACATATTACAAAACCATGAGAAGTGAGCAAGGTCGGTTTGATGCCAAGTAGGTACAAGAAATTCACAATATTGAACAATCGTAGCATTTAGTCACAGGACAAACCAATGATTCTACATTCACAAAAAAATAAAATCATGTACGACTACAGATGTGATGTCATTGAAAACCTATAAGAAATACATTAAATTAAATTCAATCCCGGATGTATTGTCTGAAAATTTTGATGTTCTAAAATAAGTGGGCAAAAAAGACCAATGATCAACCCTACTATGTGAAAAGACCAAACAAAATAATAATTGTAAGACATAAAAGCCTCCAGAGTGACAGGCAATTGAACCCGTGCTTTTATACCCTTCCTAAAATATCCTGTTTTATTATCATGAATATCTTTATTTAATTTTCCTATCAAAGAGATTTTAATTTAGATATTTTATGTACAAAAGAGATGAGAGTAGAACAAAGAAATCAGGATCCATTCAGTCCACAGCCGATTGTCAAGGCTTCCATTTTATCTAGGTAAATTGCACATTTCACAGGATGACAGATGTGGCGCATTTATGAATGTGCAGTGAGGACATGTCCATTTTGCACCACCTCCGAGACCCGATCCACTAGCTCCATGATGATCAAGCGAATGAGAACCAGAGGCACTTGATACCTCAGTGGCCGCAATTAATTGTTCAACAGTTCCCCACTGTTCAGAATGACGCCATTCTGAAGCTAAAGCACTGTTTCCTGTTCGCACAGCTTCCAACAGGGGAGCCATATGTTCCTGAAAATATGAGCACAGAAATAGATTGTTAAGTATTAAGATTTTGCTTAACACAAATTACTATAGTAACTTTTCAACTCTTACCCTCAAGGGAAGCATGTCCATAGTTGCAATATACAACAGAACATGGAAGTCCGACATGGCAAGCAGGAACTGATCCTCAGTAAACTGGCGCATATAACTACTCAAAGTACCAAAATCTTGTAAATGGCCCTGAACCATTCTGGAATAAAATAGATGAAACATATATAATTACAAGAAAGGGCATGAATGTCCCACAATTAATAGAAAAGAACAAATATAATACCTGTTTTCAACAGGGAACTGGCTGATAGACGAGTCAACGTGGAATTTGTACTGGGGCACTAAAGGTGTAGATGCAGGAACATCAACCAGGAGATATTCTACGGGCAGTGGTCTTGCCAAACGGGGAACTTCATTTCCATAGTTGTCCTTCTCCTACAAAAAAATAATAAAAAAATTACAATTGCTTTTATTGATTTATAATTTGTTTCCCCAGTGTTATAGCTCAACGTATGTTGAAAAGCATTGAAATGATAACGCCTGAAACAATCTGTTTGCTAAACAAAAATAATTTGTCATGGGGCTCATCTAGGTGTAATATTTGTACTGGCGTGCCCTAGACGCCTGCTTGCGACTGCGTGTCCAGGATCCAACACGAGGGGGAAGATCACCCCTGGGGGATGGCGGGCCATGCCGCACAATATGCCTATGGATATGTTCAGGGGAATAGCAGTGCAAGTTAAGTTGCCTACCATCAAGCGCCTCAGTAAGTGCCATCAGTGCAAACGAACACCTCATGACCCCCCCCCCACCAGAAAGGTCATGTCCAATACACGTCTAAGGTGACCATTTAGACGAGTATTAGACATGGTCTTTCTGATCGGTGCCTCCCAATAGGCACCTAACGTTATTAGAGGAGACATGAAGTACCATTCGAGTTGGGACAGTTTTCACTGACAGTGTAGAGGGGAGGCATAGATTATTGATCGGCTGTCGCGACATGATTGTTGCTCTTCCTGCCAGCGTGCTCCGGCTGTCGGCAGCCGTCGGCCCACCCCCGCTCCGACCTCGCGGTGTTGTACCTCGCTGTACCACCCCCCTCCGGGGGCGGGGGGGGGGGGGGGGGGGGGGGGGGGGGGGTGTACGCCCCCATGGAGCCCGTGACCAGACCGGGCTCCGCTCCGGGGAACGCGCGCGTCACACAGCAAGTCGGTCCGGGTATAGTGCCGAGAAGGCCAGGGGAGGTGGGGCAGCCGCGAGGGCGCCGGGGCGCGGGGCGCGAGGGCCTCGCTCAGCTCAGTGTGTCGCGCACCTGCGGCCCGCGGCGTCTCCCCGACGCCTGCCCGCGAGGCCCGTCAGGACCGCCCCCCGCGCCGCCTAGGCCGCCGCCAGCCCGCAAGCCCTGCCGCCACCACGCCTTGGACAAAGCAATCGTTATCGACGCTATCTGCTCCAATCATATCTCCACCGCCACAGCACAGCTGTCGGGGCGTCGTCGTCGACGACATGGCGTCGTCACCGCTAAACTTGTGCATCCCGCTGCCGTGGCTCTCCCTCATGGTGTGTGTCGCCGCGAGCTCCGCGAGTGACAGCCGGCTCCCCCCCCCCCCTACCCCACAAGGGCCTCCAAGGGCTATGCGTAGCGCGACCCTTACCTTCCCCAACGCCCTTGCAGCGCACCCCCCCACCCCTTCCATGGGCCGCCCTTCGTGTCCCCACCACCACCACCGGCAAACCACCCCCTTCCCTCCTTTGTCAGCTGCAGTGCAGGTCGCCGCCGGGTTCAATGGAGTGGCGACTACCCATGGCTCTCATGATGTGGCAGCTGTCCCGCCGCAGGCCCCAGCGCCCACGAGCCCGCACGATAAGCCCGTGCTGAGTCGCGCTTTTAATGCCTTGCCTGGCCACTGCCACGCACGAGCAGCCGGGGCAGCGACGATCGTCCCCCCAGTCCCCCAATGCGTTGCATCGGCATTCGAAAGAAGTGGGCTATCGCGCGAATCGCCTCGAACAGTGTCACAAGCGCCTGCTCCTGCTGCATCACCCCGTGATCACGCTCGTACTTCCCCCGTTTCCTGTCGACGGGAAAGACGGGACGCTGCCCCCTCCCTATCCCTGGCCGCCCGCCCGCCCCCGCAGCCACCCCAAGTCGGTCCAGAGGAGGGCTTTGTCCTCCCCCTTTTCGCGCCCTCCGCCGTCGACGAGCGCAGCCGCCAACCGCCACGAAGCAGTGCGAAACAGACACCGGGCAGGCCGACGGACCGACTGCGGGTGCTTCGTGCAGTGCGTGCTCGGCGTGCGCGCCTCGCTCTCTCTCCGTCTTTCGCGTCCCTTTCTCTTTCCCTCTCGCTCTCTCTCGCTGCTGACGCGAGACGCGACGCACGCACGCACAGTCGGGTCGGAGTCGGTCGCAAACCCCCCCAACTCATCTCCTCACATCGTGCGGCAGCGCTGCGCAGCGTCGAGTCGAGTGGTGGAAGCGACCTGAGTTGTCGGCCGCGCGACGCCCGAAGGCTTTTGGCCGTTTTGTTGTTTGCCGTGATCTTCGCCATTGTCCGCGCCAGCCCGCCGCGCCAGTCGTCCCGCGAAGCTGTCGGCCCGGACCGCAACGCACAAAGCCCGTTAATGTCACCGAACACGGCCCGGAAGGCTGAAGTAGATAAATGTGGCATTTGGGGCGCAACTGAACCCGAGCCGAGCCGGTGTCATCAAAGCAACAAGGTGGTGGTTGTTGACGACTTTTCCGCTATAGTTCTAGTAGCCAGCAGACTCTCGAGAAAACAATCTAGAGGCGAGAGGCAATAACGGCACTTGGGTTTCTAAGCCACGCACGCTAATGCGCGCTTCTATGCTCCTCTAAGTAGCCAGATAATCAAAATATAAATAAGAATATGCACGTGTTATGATGGGAGGATAACAGTTACTACTCATAGGCACAGTGATTCCCCAAGTTTTCACGGGTTCGAAATCGCAATTCGTATTATAATCTGTAACGCCGCGACAAACGAATTCAATTAATTCCATTCTGAACATCTAAAAGATGTGCATACTTGAGGACATCTGGTGTCAAGTAACAATAACCTCATCTGAACAACAGGCCACACAGACGGTGGCAGAAAATTGTATCAAGTACTAAATTTTGGGCACTGTACTAAAGAATTTATCCGTAGACAGCCAATATTGACTAATCAACGGTGATAAATTTATCTATTTGGAATACATTAAACAGGGAAATATGAGTTTCAGCAGCACAACGAAGTAGGGTTATGTTCCCCTAGATAACTAGCACCAGTTCAGGACTGTAGTGGCCCAATCCCCACTTACGCAACAACCAAGAGCAATCAATTCTCATGACAATATTGTGCAGAAAAATAATTCCATGCTCAAATCTTAACTTACAGATGCCAGACTACGACCCTGACAACCTGTCAAAAATTGAAGCGCTTGTATTATGTGGCCAATGCAAGATTCCTTATGATGATGCAACGCACTTGCCAAAAGATTTGACTTGCAAACATACTTTCTGCCTGGAATGCATTTTATCAGGCCTAGGGAAAGCAACGAAAGGCTCGTCTGTGAGATTGGGAGAAATTTTCTGTGATCTATGCTGGAAGCTGACAGAACTCACAGAAAAGGGTCCACAAGCACTTGAAACAAATGAGCCAAAATTGGCTTTGGTAAAGCTGTACATGCAATTAAAAGAAGGTTCGTCATTGACTAATGGTGACATCCCTAATGGAAGGTCTTCAATTCATGAGGTTTGTTAATTTTTCTATCAATCACATTAATTCTCCTAGAAACCTAGATGACCAGCAGATTTGATTACAGCCCAGCCCTTATGAATCATGCGCTCGTCACCAAGGCTATCCGCTACAGCTATGGTGCATTGATTGTGAAACATCTCTATGTGCAGAGTGTCAAACTACCATGCATTCCGATCCTATGTTACACAGGATTTGGACTCTAGAACAAGCGAAGGAACGCATAGTGAAGGAGGTATAAGCATAACTAATCAGAACTTACTTACAGGTAATTTTAATTAATGAGCTGTCATAATATAATCTACTATTTTCAGGCCTTTAATGAGATCACTGTAATGGGATCTATGGATGATAATATTCGTCAGTTGGCAAAGCGTCAGCGCCAGTTTTTGATATTGATTCGAGATGCTTGCACTGCCTTGACAACTGAAGTGCAGACTTTCCTAGATAGTGAATGGAATGTTGATCCGTCAGCTGAGATCAGGAATGCATTACCACCCATACAGCAGGCACTGATGGAGTCTAAATGTCCCTCTGAAGTTCGTGAATTACTTAAGGTTATTCTTCTAAAAAAGCAGAGCTTGGAGGTATTTATTAATTCTCTTTCAAGGAAAGTTTCAATGGCAATTTTGAGTTATCAGTATTCTTATCTTATGTTTTTTATTCACATCCAGGTTAAGTGCCAAGAGAACATAATTCAATGCCAGTTAAATGACCTTATTGGTCATTCTGATCGAATTTTCGATTTTGAATCCCTCCGCCAGACAGTTGCAAGTATCCTCTCAAACGAAAAAGAGATTAAGCCAATGTCATTGCAGCAGCCCCACCCAGATCCTATTCTTCTCTTGACGAATTACTGCATGTCCCAGTTATTTTCTCGAGTTCATCAAACCCAGAGAACTTCTGCTGACAGTGCTCTTCTGAATCATAACATGCAGAGACAACTCGTTATTACCCCACCCGAAATTCCGGTTGAACCTACTCCACCCTCTATTCTAACTCCCCCCCAGATCCAACCTGATATTGAATCTTCAGAACCGTTCAACAATTCAAACATCCATCAGGTTGAGTATTCTCATCCTCTTCAGCCAACTGTTTCAGTGCCTTTTGATAGTGAAGTAGATAGCCAAGTTTCCCGCCCAACTACTCCAACTGATGACAATGCATCTACCCCTTCTTCCTTAAGTAACTTTTCCCCTCCACCAGCAACTACTGCACAGATTGTGCAAATGCAGTCAACTAACGCTCATGAGAGAGAAGAAATGCTAGCGCCAATAATCCATCCTCCAGTCCGACCGGTTCCTAACAGGTCTCCTGTCAACGTATCTCCTCGATATTTCTTCCACATTAGTATTAATGGAGTTCACAAGGGGCAAATCATTATCGAAACTCGTCCAGATGTTGCCCCTAAGATGTGCAGGAATTTTGATCGTCTAACAACTGCGGACAGAAAAGCTTCCTACAAGAATTGTTCATTTTTCCAGTGCTGGAAAGAGGAATCGGTAAGACTTCTCTCTTCATAACTGAAATGTGCACAGCTATTGTACATCCTTATGCAAAAATATTTTCATTTTCAGGTTATCACTGGCGACTACGAGTTCAACACAGGACGGGGCGGAAAATCGGTGTACGAAGAAGGATACTTCTTTCCAGATGACACGCGACTACAGGCTGTACGCGGTGCTGTAGGTATGCGGAGGCAACAGAAAAAGAATGATTACTCCGGATCTGTTGGGTCTCAATTTCGAATCATTTTGCAAGACACTACTTTCACCGGCATTTTTGGTCATGTCGTTGAAGGTATTGAAATTGTGGACATGATAGCTAGTTTTGGAGACACGACAGGTAAACCTTGCAAACTAATTACGATTACGCGATGTGGAAAGTGTACATGATACTAGGACTGCTAGTCTTTCTCAGATAAAAGCGAAAAAAAATCTGCTGAAAGCAAAACTTTTCCAAAGATAAATCATAATTCCCTATCATTAGCGCTATCTTTGAGAGGGGATATTCTAATACGTTCATGATTTTGCTTACCCACGAAAAGCTTAAGGGGAGATTATTTATCTCATCGAATTTCTTCCAAGTACTTTTGAAAGACTGAGGGAAGATGTGAAAACTGTAATAAAATCATGCTGGGCACTGTTTTTAAGACTGTGAAACTGTGGCTATATTACCGTTCAATAGTTTAAACTAGGCCTTAATACTTCATTCAATGTGTACTTAAGGTTTCTGCACAATGTACCTCTCTATTACAGGGGTTTCTTTCCAATCTTTTGTGATATTTTAAGTAATGATTAAGCATCAATTTCCTTTCATAATAGAAGTGTGAATGACAGAAGGATTTGATTTTATATGTAACATTCCTTGAAGCAACATTTGCTCATGCATCATAGTGATAAATATATTTTTTTTTAGCCCAGTGAAATTGCGGAGAAGAATGAGGTTAGATGTGAACAATTTGCTACTGTTTTTGAAAAGTTGTCTACATTCCCATCAATAATTACAATTATAAAATAAATGAAATGAGCATAACAACGATTTTCAAGCTCTTCAATCTTCCTAGCAACTTGTAATGGAGAATTTGTTTCAATCACTTCATAAGAAATTAATTTGTTTAAGGGCAAATGCTAATTTTATATACGACCACTATTCAATTATACAAAGACAACTTTTTTACTATTTTACATTTTAAGCGACACGTAATACAAAGTATTTCATTTTAGGCTTCCTTTCTGTGTTGTGGAAAAGAGAAAGCATCTTGGTCTAGGAAAAGTATGTGATTAGAAGTTCCATAATTAATGTAATTTTTTCCTTCCTTTGTACCTTAGTGTTAAGGGCCTCTAAGACATTATGTATTTTGTATTATTGAATTTTGACCTCATTATACCAGCATTATTTTCTTGAGTTATGACTAAACCAGCATTCATGTTGCAACCCTACTAAACTATAAATTTGATCTCGTTGCCATAGAAATTATGTTATTATTATTTGTGAGTTTCATGTTGTTCATCAAGATTCAGACCAATGTTGTCCAGAAATCAAAGGTATTTTGTACTTTAGGCTGACAAAAATGCAGACCATGGTCAGAATAAAACAAGCCCCATGAAATTGCCATTATTTTTGTCCAAACCTCATCAGTGCAACAAATTTCAGCAACCACCATACATTATCAATGTTTTATGTTCAAAAGCCTACATCAATCAGTGCTGACAATTCGTTTAAGGCAACTTTCTAATTTTTAACTGGATAATGGTTCCAGCTAACACTACAATTATTATACAGGAGAACAGTTTTCTCTGTAATATTGTTCCTATTTCACCATTTGAAAATAAGTTGTGCAGTGTTCTACCCAGTAATCCAACGTACCTAAAAACATCAAAGTTAAAAAAATTTCACTCACCTTGTAGTAAACATCGGGCACATACTGCTTATCACTTGACTCCCGAATGCTCCCAAGTTCAGAGGCATCTTTCGTTGGGACTAAGCATCCGTCTCTAACCAAGGCCATGCATTGGTTGGAGACTTGATATCCTTCCATGTGAACTTGATTTGTTGAGTCTCCTGTGGATATCATTAAAATTAATATGGTACAAAACAGAGTAACAACAATGCTTGCTTCAGATTATAGGAAGCTTTACCTGTTACACAAACAGTTGCAAACTTGGAACCAAAGTAACCACCTGGAGAAAAACGGCAAGGATTTGGATGTTGGTTCTGAAAGTGACCAGCCATTATGCACTCTTGGGCAGAGAGAAAGTGGCTTTCAATATTACGCACATGTTGAACCTAGAAGAAAACCAGGGAATGCATGCATGTGACAGTTCCTCTGCCTCATTGAAACTTAGGAGTGAATAGAGGATATAGATGTATACTTACGGTTCCTTTTTGCACATCTGCAATTAAATCAGTAAAAATCCATCCAATCCTGCACATACCAAGTTGTCTGGCTACATCATCCACTACTTCTTCTTTGTCATCAGGTAACAGTAAAGAAACTGAATCCCTGGAGCTTTCCTGAAAATGAGTGTCTATTTCAGAAAACTGCAAACTGCAACATGGCAGAACCTGAAATTTTAAAATAGACTAAGAAGTACTACCTGCGGTGGCTCATAAATGGCAGACACAGTAGCTCGGATGCCAAGGGGAACATCTGCATGAATTTCATATGTTCCATATAGGAAGCCAATCCTCTGATGACCAGTTACCCTCCAATAATCCAGAAAGCGTTCAACTATTTGTGGGTTTTCAAACATTACATTGTCCACATGGCGGTAGATCTTCATAAACAACAAAGATTAGTAGATTTCATAACTAACCCAAAAGCAAATTTCAAAATAAACACAAAATGACAAACCTGGCGATTTAAAGTCACAGCATTTGGTTGGCATTTAGAGCAAATTCCACGTGGCCATGGAGGATGGTCTTTGCAACCCAATTTGATCCTGCAGCTTATGTCTTCCAATGCAACAAACTTGCCCCTAAAAATAAAATATAACTTTTAATCAAGATTCACAAATTTTAAAGATTTCAAAAATCTGTCCTTATTGGTCAAAGGACATTTTACCTATCAACACCAGCAGTCAACTTCCTCAGATATGAATGAAATGACATGTGTTTTATTTTTTGCTCCTTCAAATAGGCTTCATCAAATGGTTCTAGAGGAGAACAATGTAGACAGCATGCATTCGCTCCGTGACGACAACTAAAAAATTAATGTCAATTAATTCCTACCCCCCAAAAATAAAGAATATTTATCTCATCGAATTTCTTCCAAGTACTTTTGAAAGACTGAGGGAAGATGTGAAAACTGTAATAAAATCATGCTGGGCACTGTTTTTAAGAC